CCGGGGCAGCCTCCCGGACCACCACCACCCCTCCCCGCACCCTCTCCCCATTCATTCGGCCTCTCCCCCCACCCCACCCCCACCCCTGGCGAGGCCCCGTCGGGGAAGTTTGCACCTCTGGACTCCATTGCTTTGGCCATTTGCACAAAGCCAGGCCGGCGGGGGCAGGGCCCGCCCGGCTGTGGGGGACGCGGGGGACACAGATGCCCAGGACGCCAAGCTAATCGGTAACTACAAAGAAAGAGAAGGTGGGGGCGCCGGGAGCGGAGCCGGCTCTGGGGTGGGGGCCGGGGGTGGTTGAAATGTCCCCCTCTCCCCAACTGCCCACTCCCTGGCCCAGCTCTGTTGGGGTCCGCACCCTCCACCCCTCCGCGTCTCTGCCCTGCCCGCTCCCTGCGTCCACCTTTGGCTGAAGTTAACAGTGGCCGAGGCTGCCAGCGGGGTGCGGGGGGGTCTGGAGCCCGAGACAATGAGCTTGGACCGTCCATCTGGGCAGAGCCCAAATCCCAGGCCGGCCAGGGCGGAGGAGGGAGGTGTGGGCGACCTCAGAGCCCAGCGGGGGGAGGCCTGCCCGCCTGCCCGGCCCTCTGATGGCATCCCAGGAGGGAGGGGCGCCCGCCCCGTGTGTGTGTGTCCCCAGCCCTTGGCTCAGATTGTGGGCCCAGCACCCGATTTGGGTGGCTTTGACAGGCTTCCTGTCAGGTGTTAGGGACTGGGGGTGGGGACTTCAAAGGCTTTGTGCTGGACACCCCTGCGCCCCCATCCTCTTGCAAGACCCGGGAGAGGCCGGGGGAAGGACCAGGGCCTGTGACCTATTTTGCGCCCACCACGGTCGGTCGCATGCATGGTAAGCATGCATACATGTTTATTGAATGAATGAATGAATGAATGAATGAATGGCAGGGCTGGGAAGGCCACAGGGAGGGTCCGGTGGGATGGAGCCCAGGCCTGTCACTTGAGCAGCCAGCCCCTCGGGCTGGTACCTTGAGGAGGAGGAAAGAAACCCTCTCTCCATCCCCTGCCTTTTTTCAAACCAACCATCGCTCCCCCCACCCCGCAAAAAAAAACTGGGCCGGAAAAATCTGACTCCTCCGGGTGGCCTGAGCGGGCAGAGGGGGCTCGCACCCAGTCGCGGGGCGTACTCTGGGGTCTGCGGACGGCCGGAGGGCTTTTCCCACCGCCCCCAGCCCCTGGTATGTCTGAAGCGCCCATTTCTAGAAAGATTCCAGGGGGAATCCGGCAGCCCACGCGGGCCCCAGGCTGCACGGACAGACCCTCGGCGGGTCGGGGTCAGAGAGACAGCTCGGTGCAGGCGGCCCTTCCCCCTGCGCGTTGTCGAGTCTCCTGTGGAAATCCCTGGCCGGGGAGAGGCGAGGGGTGAGGGCTGCTTCTGAGCTTTTCCCCAGACCTGAGCTTCAGTTTCCCTGCTGTCCACAGAGCAGGGCTGGCGTCCGTGGAGCCACCTGTCTCTGCTCGGAGAGTGTTGGGATTCCGGGGCGCCGTGGGGTCTTTTCCATGGGTGACGTTTCCTCGGAGGGTGAGAATTTACAGACATGGTGTCCTTCACAGCCGGCCACCACCCTCCACTTTTTAGGGAGCCTGGGTCTGTCTGTGTCCCCTAGACAGACGGGCTGGGGGTAGCTGGGGAGGGGCTTCACGTCCTCTCAGGGCAGGGGACCCCTGCCCACCCCTGCGGGGCCTGGCTGGACATTACCTGGCCTTCACCGAAGGCTGTTGGGCAGGCGGGCGTGGAGTGGGGGCCAGGAGGTGGGGGCGTCTCGAGGGCCAGTGTCTGTGACCCAGGCCTGTGACTGGGGCTCAGCTGTGTGGCTTCAGGCTAGTGGCTGCCCCTCTCTGGGCCTCAGCCGAAGGGAGGTGGAAAAATGAATGAGGAAACTAGGGTTCCGGGGAGGGGAGCGAGTCCAGGCACCTCCTGGCAACACGTGTCTTACTTGGCTTGGTTTCCGGGGAGCCGGCAGGTCACCTGGAACCTGCAGCTCGTGGAGCAGCGGGGCCGGGGGTGCAGACCCCAGAAATCCCCCCATAGGCAGCGCGTCCCCCCAGAGCCTCTGGGTCCCCAGATGCTGGGAATGTCCTGTGAGGCTGGGCAAGAACCAGAGTGAAAACATTCCTTGAAGGTCGCCTGGCTCCGGGCGCCCGGCGCAGAGAGGCCACCTGGCGCCACCGTTCACTCCCGGGGCCGTGTCACCCCCTGTGGAAGGGGTCGCCGCTGAGGTGTCAGAGCTTATATCAGGGAAACCGAGGCCCAGAGAGGCACATAGGAGGTGCCACGGCCGGCCAGAGCGAGGCCGTCATCACCCGCCTGCCCCCCTCCCAGGCCAGGGGAAGCAGAAGTGTCCGTGTCTGTGTGACAAAGTGGTGACAGGGTCCCCCAAGCCGAGGGTGAGGCCCCTGCAGAGATGGTGTCAGGAGGGGAGGGGGCCGGGACAGCCCCTGACAGCCACAGCCGAGGGTGGCACGGGGGCTGAGCTGAAGCCACCAGAGACCCAGGAGATCTGTCCCCAGCGACGGGGCGGGCGTGGGACGGTTCTCCAAAAGAGGGCAGGCCCACCGCCCCTCAGCCCTGGGCTTTTTTGTTTTTCAGAGAGAGAGATGGAGACAGAGGGATCCAGAGACCGGGAGCCGGGGTTGGAGAGAGATGGACAAGGGTGGGACAGGGAGGCCACAGGCCCGCTCCCCTACCCACAGCCCCCAGATCTGTGGCTCCTCCGGAGCGAGGGGGGCTCCCCCAGGAAGGATCCCCACCCTAGGCCAGGGGCTCAGGCCAGGAACGGGAGGCTGGGGTTGGGCTCCCACTGCCCTCACTGCAGCCCCCCTGCCCAGAGACCCTCCCTCCGTCCGAGGGGGCCTCGAGGTGCCCTGGGAGCTGGTGTCCCTCTCTCCGCCACTGGGACCGCGTGTTGATGCCCCCCCCGCCCGGGATGCGCAGTGGTGCAAGTCCAGGCACCCCATGTATGGCAATCGCATATGCATTTGCATGTTAATGGCAATATTTGTCTTAAAGTGAGGTTGCACCGGGACGGTGCCGGTGGCGGGGGGCATGGCGGGGGCTGCGGTGGGGGCCGTGGTTTCCATGGGAGCACCAGCTGCTGGCGCGGCTCCCGGCAGCGGGAGGAGGGGAGGCTGTGGCAGGCTGAGCTCTGAGGCATGACATTCCGAGTGTGACGCCAGCCGCAGGGAGACAGCGGCGGTGGCGGGCGCGGCCTGGCATAGGGGGACCAAGGAGCAGTTGGCTCTCTTCGTGGTGGCCATGGGGACAGCAGCAGGGGGCTGGGGCTGAGTCACCAAAGGCAGGCTGGCTTGAGTGTGCACGGAAGGGACCCTCACCTGGGGTGCTGTGGTTTCCAGCTAGGCATGCCTCTCTCTGGGCCTCAGTTTCCCCAGCTGCCCATTCTTCATTTAACAGACTTTCATGCATCTGTGACTGTGACATCGGTTCTGCCTCCTCCCCTCCGCCCATCTGCCATTCAGACAGAGAACATTTATTGAACGCCTACTATATTCCGGCATTTGTGTGGAGCCGTCATGAGCAGGGATCCCTTCTGGGACTCATAAGGGAGTGGGCTAGACATTAATCCCTCCATCCTTGTGACCAGCCATTATTGAGCACTTGCTGTGTACCAGGCCCTGCTCTGGACCCTGGGACACAGAGTTGGGCAAAGCAGATCAAATCCATTCCTTGCCCCCTACCCAGATGGCTTCTCACCCCAGATTTCAGCATGGAGGAGGGAGACGGCTGAGGAAACAGGTGTCAAGGCGTCGAGCTCAGGGATGTGACGGCGGAAACACACACACTGGCAGTGACGACCCAGAGGAGGTCCTGCGCCTGCAGGATGGAGGCTGGGGGGGATTCCGGGAGGAGGCGCTCGGGGTGGCGGAACGGTTGGGAGCTTGCCATGGAGATGAATGTGGTTTCTCCGCATCTTACCGGCTGCGTGGCCTCGGGCAGGTATCTTAACCTCTCTGAGCCTCAGTGGGGCCTCCTGTTTCAGAGGAAACGGGGCAGGAGGGAACTGAAATGGCAGTGATGCTCTTGGCACGGGGCCAGGCACACAGTATGTGCCTGGTCAGAGGGCGCTGGGCATGTTACGTGAGTGCACTGAGACCTGGAGGGCGAGAAGGTAGGGAAAAGTGTTTCTGGCAGAGGGAACCATATATGCGAAGGCTCAGAGGAGCATGAACTCTGGGGAGTCATAGGTGAGGGGAGGATGGAGTTTTTGCCCTGGTGGGGAAGAAATAAAGGATCTTTCCAGCCCCAGAGTCGCCTTCTTCCACGGGCTCTCCTGAGGGGGTCTGGCATTGGGGCTGGACTCAGAACGCTGTCCCTGAAACAAGCCTATTTCAAGCCTATGTGAGGCCTCATATTGGCAAGTGAGGCCTTGGCCACTGCAAACACCCAGTAAGACTATGTTTGTTCATTCATTCATTCATTTATTCATTCAGCTAACACTCCCTGAAAGCCCTCTGGGGCCTTGCCTTGTACTGGGCAAGAGAGAGCTCAGGCGGGAGCCAGACATCAACAGCCATAGCTCTTGTGGTCAGGGCCGGGTCAGACAGAGGGATGCAGCATTGAGGGAACTGGATAAGGAAGTGGGGGCTCTGCCTGGGGAATCCAGCTGCGTGGAGGAGGGGTATTAGAAATGGGGCTTTGTAGAATCAATAGGAGCTTTCTAGGCAGAGAAAGAATCCTCATTTGTGCCTTCACTGAAACACTTATTGTGTTCCAGGCCCTGTGATGGGCATGGAACATGGCAGTGAACAAGATAAGGTGGATGTCTCTGCCCCCCCTGGATATGGGCAGGGGGAGTGGATTTGCAGAGGCCTGGAGGTGTGAAGGTGAATTTTTGCAGCTGGGTTAGAGGAGGAATTCGGCGAGGCATGGGAGGTGAGGCTGCAGAGTCAGCATGGGGTGGACCCTGAAGAGCCTCTGATACTGGACTTAAAGGTGACCAAGGCCAGAGGGAGTGGCTGGTAGGTTTGGAAGATGTTGACCTACAAGAGTCCAATTGGTCTGGGGTTATGGTCGTCATCACAGACATGTAAGCTCTTTGAGGGCAGAGGCTGTGTCCTGTTCACCATGTTGAAGTGGAGCATGCGGAGGTACAAGGGCATGAGGGAGTGGGAGCTGTGAGGATGGGGGAGGGGGCTGGCTGACAAGCGGGTGGGTGGATGGACGTGCAAACCAATGGATGCAGACATGGATGGA